CAACTCACTCTTTAAAATCACTTTTTTCCCGTAATGACATTTTGTATATCCTCACTCTACCCCCAACTCTCACTATCAAGTCAATCATTTCTTTGACTCCTGTCAAGCCCCTCATTTGATCCAATGTCTATATTAGTATATTTTACTTACATTTTAATTTCCTTTCTAGGTTCAGTCAAAATATGTTAAGCTTGATATGCATATGCCAAGATGCTTGGATTAAGTTTGGATGATGCGGCATTATGATGACCTCAACTATTTTGCTTGTGCATTCAGTTGGTTAGGATGAATTTTGATTGGGCCAACGCTTTTTCTTGCCCGAAAGTGCGTTTTGGTTTTTTGGATCAATTGTTGGTGATTGCCCTGCGCATTTTCCTAGGTTTAGTCATGCCTTAATGTGCCAAGTGCAGCAATTTTTATTTTGGCCTAAACAAGTTCAAAATTTCTTTTAAATGAAAACTATTGGTTGTAAACTTTATTAAATTAATGATCATAGTAGGCGTGAAATGAAACATTCTTAATAGAATAAATATATGACATATTTCTATGATTAGAATGATTTTTTAGCCAAGTTATAACTAACTGGGAAAAAAAAACTAAGACCAAATATTGTCTACTATGAAGTGCAAAATTTTTTTTGAGCTAGCTCATTCATTGGCTAACTTATACATATATCTTTCTCCCTCCTTAGTATCTAATCTATTATATAAATCACTAAAAGCTAAGGTCTTTGCATCACATATTGCTTTCTTAGATTCCTTACGAGCCTCTTTATATCTTTTCTAATTATCAGAATTTTTAAAATTAAACCAATTTTTATAACAAATATTCTTATTCTTAATCTTTTCTCGCACATTTGAATTTATTGCCCCAAATCTGAAAGATATAATTGATTACTCTACGCAGTAGTTTAATGGAAGTCATAAATTTAAGATGAACCTCAATGCATAAAGATCCAATGTATTATCAAACAAATTACTTTTTTTTTTCTCAAACCTGTGGGCTCTAAAAATTTTGTGCCTCGAAGTCTTCGTGTATCGGGAATATTAACAAATTAACTTCTTAGTCATTTTTTTAAAGAAAAATTAGCTTAAAAATAAGACACTATCCAGAGTTTTTGTTTTCATTTTGCCAAGATTTTAAGATCCAAGTTCAAGTTTCTCATAAGCATAAGTTTCTATGGTTAATTACTCTTGGTGATTGGAGCACTCTTTTGATTAAGGATAGTTGTATGATAGGCACTAAGTACCCAACTTATATTAGCAATGGATTTGATGTTTAGGATTTGAACTTTACCACATTGCACTTAAAGAGCATGGTGGAGGAAATGATGGTGAACCCAATTAAGATCCAGTAATTTTGTTATCTCGGATTGTCATGGTCCCTTATCTACGTTAGAGGAGGTAGTTGTCCAAACCTGATTGCATGATCCTTATCAGCAGCCAAGAGTATCTTGTGAATATAGGTGAATATCTTTCTAAAGAAACAAATTCAAATCGATCTTAGCCAATAGAGAGTTCTTGGTACTATCAAATATATTATATGTTTTATTTCTCAAGAATTTTAGCTATTGGGGAACATAAAAAGTCTGATTATAGTCGTAATATAATATTGCCTATATATGGCAAAACCACCTAGTCAAAGACAAGATATGAGTTCAAGTTTCTCATAAGCATAAGTATTCATGGTTAATTACTCCTCTTGGTGATTGGAGCACACTTTTGACTAAGGGTAGTTGTTAGATAGGCACTAAGTACCTAGCTTATATTAGCAATGGATTTGATGTTTATGATTTGAACGTTATCACATTGCACTTAAAAAGGATAGTGGAGGGAATGATGATGAACCCGATCAAGATCCAATAGTTTTGTTATCTCGGATTTTCATGGTCCCTTGTCTACTTTAGAGTAAGTGGTTGACCTAACCTGATTGAAGGATCCTTGTCAGTAGCCTAGGGTATCCTGTGAATATAGGGTGAATATTTGTCTAAAGGAACAAATTAAAATAAAGTTTAACCAATATAGAGTTTTTTCCTACCAAATATATCCTATGTTTTATTTCTCAAGAATTTTAGCTATTGAGAAACATACAGAGTCTGATTATAGTTGTAATATAATAGTTCCTATCTACTGCTAAATCGCCTAGTCAAAGGGATCATAACCATTTACTTGTAGAACCATCTTGCAACCAAATCATTGGTTAGAGAATGCATGTCACGTCCTTATTACCAGTAGATATTTCGAGGATGAATCTCAGTGTTATTCTTGTCTATATATTTTCTTTTTGTGAATTAAGGTTATTCCTAAATTTATCGCCCTCATCAAATGTTTGCAGGGGTTGTGTGGATTTTACTCCAAGTATTAAGTGATTAATTTCATGTTAAATATTTAAATTTTGTTAAATATTGAATTCTTAAAATTTATTGAAATTTAAGCCCTAAATGATTTACTTGAAAATTTGAGGTCTTTTTAAAAATCATGTAGCTCGCTTTGGTTGAGATGTTTAGTCAACGCAGCCATTATCAAGATGATATTGAAATCACTTTAAATATATTTATATTTTGGGCTTGGAGGTATTTAAAAATGATAGAATCCTCATTGATTGGGATTTATTTTCAACACAATCATCATTAGGGTTTTGAATAATTTTTCTATTATTAGAATTACGTCAACTTTGTATGCCCGCAAACAAAGAATCAAATTTGATATCAGCTTTGTTAATCATTACACAAACGTTAAATCTGAGGGTTTGTATTTCTGTAATGAGTTTTTTTCAAAGAGGTCTTTGAAGGTCTAATGTAAACGAAAGGAAAAATAAAATAAATTTTTTCGTAGATTTCATAGTTGTATATTCCCTTGTTATTTCAAGTTTTGTCGACTCTAACCCTTTGAAGGATGAGGTTTAGACTTAAAATTTAAATCCACATATAACATGCGCACCATTTCTGACCTTGGATTTAGAAATTCGATGAGATGGTCAAAACATATGTGGATGATTTAATTTGAAAAGATTTTAACTCTCTTTTAACACGCGCAATATTCTTAAATTTCAATATTTGCGCTTTTAGTATGTTTTTCGGAGCACATATAATAATTAAAAAAATAAATTTAATTTAACCCGCACAACATTCATTTTTTTTTTATATTTGAGTGTTTAGTATATTTGTCCGAGCAAATACGGGGAATTAGTTAAAAAAAAGATTTAAATTTAACTCGCTTTTTACCTTGTGCAACATTCTTAGACTTTAATATTTGTGTGATTTATACATTTGTCGGTGCATATACGAGGAATTAATTTGATCTTTATATTTGCATGATTAGTACGCTTATCGGATCATATATGAGGATTTAATTTGAAAATATAATTTTAGTTTAGCTCGCTTGTAACTCTTTGAAGTATTCTTAGACTTTTGTGTTCAAGTGTTAAACACATTTGTCAAAGCCATATTGGGAATTAAGATTTCTTTTTAAATGATGTGCACACTTTTCAATGTATTTGCATGTTGACTTGCACACTTTTCGATGCATTTACATAATGCATTTGCATACTTTCAATATATTGGCACACATTTTTATGCACTCACGTGATGCCCTTGCATGTATTTCAATGCATTTGTATAGCGTACTTACACAGTTTCAATGTACCTGTGCATTTTTAGTATTCTCATGAGCATGTATTTCGATACATTTCTATAGTGTATTCACAGTTTTAAAATGATTACGCAATTTTTTGGGGTAGCTGCACACTTTTCAAAACAACTGTGCATTTTTTTGTTGTGACACTCTTTTCAAGGCAATGACTGCTCAAGATGGTATCACCTTCATGAGGCTGTAATAGGCTTTTCAAGATTGTTATCCGCTTTTTGAGGTAATGATACGTTATGAGACTACTGCATGCTTGTCAAGGTGGTGGCATACTTTTTTAGGCAAAAAAGACTTGCATGGCCAGTGTTGTAAGATGTTGGGACTATAGTCTTCTATCCCACCATGCCAAAAAGCTTGCATGGGTTTTCATATACTTGTTTAAAATGCAGTGTTTTCCAATCATGTCACCGTGTACTTTAATTTACTTCGTCGTGCTAAGAAAATTGCACACAAGACTTACTTGAAAGCCTACAAGTTCTTCAATTTACCTCTTGCTAAGAAAATTGCGCACATGTACTTTAATTACCCTTGCCACACTAAGAAAAGTGCACACAGGTTCTACTTGTCAGATTGAATGCGTCATAATCATGATTTTGTTTGGAGACTTTTGAATTTTGTAAAATTTATACCTTCACATGATAACAACAAACATCGCAAATGAAGAGAATGACGAGGGTGAAACACACCTTTTTTAAATTATCTCTTTGCTTATTTTCTTTTCCCTTCTTATTTTATTTTGCTCTTTCTTTTTTTATTATTTTTTATTTTTTCTTTGTTTCATTCTCTAGTGAGAGAAAGTGATCATAACGTATGAAATGGTGGCTTCTAGGCTTATAGAATACATCCCCCATCCAACTCCCTTAAGAACCCACCATTCATCCTTTTTCAAAAAGGTCAATAAGAAGATGACGAAGATGCATGATATGCATGACTTGATCCATCCAGTTGGTGATGATTTATAGAGATGGGAAGTAGGTAGAGTCCAGAGCAAAATAAGGGAAAGAAAATATATATTTGGTGGCTGAAAGCTTAGAAACCAAATTAGTTAGCAGTCATATTTGAAGAAAATTCATCAAAATTTTTCAGGGGTAATGAGGGAATTTCACCTTCAAACTTAACAGCATTTACTTATCATAGGCACTCAGCTATCAAAATTATTTCAAAGCAAACGCTAGTAACCTTGCCACATTTGTTTTTTAGGGGGTGTGTGTTCGTTGTAGCTTTTATTTTTGGTACATATTTTTGTTAAATTACCATTTTCCTTTAATTTCCTGTATGTTGGCCTTGCTTTGAATTTTTATGGTCACTTTTATATTACAGAGCTATAATAGCTTATCCTATTTTTTGAATCGACAGGAACCATGGTTGATAAGCTTATTATTGTTCCACTTCACTTTACTGGTGATAGCCTTCATATCAAGGAAGAGAATCAATTTCCAACTAGGCCTATCCATTTTTGCATGTGAGGTTTCTCTAGTTCATTATCTCTGATGATTACCTATTATTATATTTCATGCAAAAAAATTTTACTACCCTTTTCATACTTATGATGTTTAACTCATATGATACATAAGTTATGGTGTAAACTTCAAAATTTTCCCGTAACTATTTGTTTATGAATAATTTAGCCCCAAAGTACACATTATTTCAAATTTTGTATAGAATTGGGATCAATTTTTTATCACAATTATAATATAAGGGATCATTTTTTTATTAATTTTGTATAGTCGAGAGATTAAGTTAGAGCAAAGTGATACTTTGGTATTAAATTAGCCACACACGAATAATCTGGGGACTATTTTGAGATTTTTTTGAATAAGTTATTAAAAATAATACCATTCTTCACAATTTTAGTGCTTGAATAATGCTAGATTTCCACTTTGATGATTATCAATTTCCTTCAGCATATTTTTGGTGCTTTAGAGGTTACATTTCCAAGATTAAATGTTGAAACTAGGATAGATGGCATGAGCTAGGTTTTCAAATATTTCCCTCATCTACTGGTATTATTAATTCCATGGTCTCATTGTCCATATACTATCCAGGTGAAGTATCATCTTTGGGCTTTATGGAATTTGGTTGTGACAAGAGCATTCATTGTGAGGTCCCAGGGGATTTTTAATACAATGTGCGCTCAAACGGGATGAAATCTTCATAATTTTTCGTATATTTCAGACCAAAGCCTTAAAGGTTGTTATGTTTAGGCTTCAGAAGTTCCAGCTCAGCAAGAACATTTTACTTTGTTGAGGGCGTTTAATTGATGCCAATAGGTTAGGGCCTTGAGCCATGTTGGTATTGAACCTTACCACAAGTCTCAAATAGAAGTTCTAACTCACCTAAGAAGCATGGGGATCTATGCTGGGTAGGCACCATGCAGACAGGCACAAAATTATATTAAAAAAAAAATCTTTGTAAGCCATGCCAAAGGCATGAAATTGCTATTATTAGTATTATTCATTGTTATATTTTCGTTATTGTCAAGTCTAAACTAAAAATATATCAAGAGATTTTTATGTTAAGAGAAAGAAAGGCTAACGGGGAGGAGTAAGAGAAAATATTAAATTAGGTTTGTTGGTATATAACTGAGTTAATATTGTTTTAAATGATTCATGTCGTGATTATTTGATAAATTTTACGTTGGCTGTCAACTACCTAATGCAACCAATCACTTTTTCTCACCCAGGGCTTGGGACCTGACAATGGTAGTATTGTTTGATAAAAAAGTATTCCCCTAACTTAAGGAAAAAAAATTATAAGATGGTGGTGAGACCTGCAATGCTTTATGGTGCAGAATGTTGGCCATTAAAAGAAGCATAAAATTTAGTGTTGTAGAGATGAGGATGCTCAGGTGGATGTGTGACTTCGCTGTTAGAGACAGAATGCAAAATGAGTATATATGTGGAAAGATAGCTCTAATGGTAGATAAGATTAGAGAGAGTTGTCCAGATGGTTTGTTCACATAAAATGTCGGGCTTCCGCTGGCTCGGTTAGTAGAGTAGATGTATTAGATTTGGCATGTGTTAAGAAAAATAGAGGTAAATGTAAAAAAAAAAAAATTGGGTGGAAAGTATTAGAAATGGCCTTTCTTTATCAGATTTAAATGAAAATTTGACTCTTAACAGGACGCGATGGAGAAAAGGATTCATGTAGTCGACCCCACGTAATTGGATAAAGGTTTGTTTATGTTGTTGTTAGTATATAATTGAGTTAGAATATCAAGTTGCATCTAGTTTATATTTATCACATATGGCTCTGAATGCTTCAATTTAGAGATCAGAACCCTTGGTCCTATCCCATTCTTAGATTTGAGTTGGGTTTGTCTCAATAACTTTGATTGGAGCTAAAGTTGATTCAATTATCAACCGATTTCCAAATTTTTAAGTCATTATTAGTCCAACATACATGCATGAATAAGTACATAAATACAAACCTATATAAATGCTTAGATGTTTTTAAATACAAATATAAATACATGCAAGCACATATATATATGTGCATGTAAATTTAGATCTAATCTCAAGAAGTGGTGAGAAGTAGTTGATACATTCACCATTCAAAATTGGCTAGAACATGTATTGGTTGTCTCAAAATTTGTTCATAGCTCTAACTGTTTTGATTTCAAGTTGACGTCATCCAAATTAATAGTATGTGAAAATTAGCTTGTGGCTTGGTTTTTTATGCAAATTTGATGGATGCGAAGGTACACATATTAAATGATAGACTTGAAGGGGAGGTAGGAGAATATAGAAATCAAAATCCATTGTGAAAGAGTGGAAGAGAAGAATATAGAGAGGGAGAGAAGATAAGGAGGAAATAAAATTTCATTCAATCATTGCCAATTGTCTTCATACAACCCTAAGATACATTTCATATAGAATAGGGTTATTAATGGATATTAAAATGACCACAAATTAATATGGGATAATGTTATGCTTATTGCATATTTTAAGCATTAAACATAATTAAAATGTGTAGCACATAGCACTGATCTTCATTGAGTAGAATAGAAGACAATGATTATTCTGCTTCAATCACCTGTGTTAAAGGATGCTCTCATCTGAGTAGTTTAAAGTTGGTTAGAGTGGTGGTGGAGTTTGAATTGGAGTTGGCTTATCGACTTTGTCTACACTTTTTTCTTTCTTGTAGAGGATTAGGTCCATAAATTATATATAAATATGGAGTTTATATTTCAGTTATCTAATATTATGGTATACATGCATTTTATTTGGGGTTGGGACTCAAATCCTGAATATTTGAGGAAGAGTCATAATAGGTTAGGACTTATGACAATACCCTTTAGGTGGGTAATCCGAGAGCTCTCTCTTTAAATCAAACTTCTATTATATATGGCCTTAAAGGCCTTATGCAAACATTTTGGTGAAGTTTGCTTTTAAATTCATTATTTCACCACAGATAATTGTCGATATGCTGACCTTGTCTTCTCTATTAGACGATCAAGTTTGAAGATTGTGTCTTAGGGCCCCATCCTATAGGTGGGTGGCTCATTTTCAAATTTATCTTAGTTTTTTATATGAGAACGTTGTCTTATTTGATCCATGCCAACTCTACTTATTTATTTATAGGGATCGGGCTCAAAGAGCAAAATCTCATATGTTTGGTATTCTTATCCTCTCTTATATTTTTTTATAAGATTTTTGGAGGATGATTTGTAATTTTTGAGCGGGAAAATGAGTTTCCCATCTCAAAATGAGTGCAAAAAGTTTTTAGAATGCTCAAAACATTTTCATAGATTTTCTCAAAATTTTCTAGTATTTTTTAATTAGAAATTTTCAAAATTTCTTTTATTTTCTTTTTTCCTTTGTTTTTTTTTTTCATTTTTTTAGAAAAATATTTTAGAGCATTTCAGAGTATCATTTGGCACGCTCAATAATGCGGCACTTAGTATCTTGGCATTGTGGCTTGCGCATATCTTAATGTGTTGTTTTATATGCTTTTTTAATGGGCTTTCCTCTTGATTAGCTTACATCTTGATTTGATTATATCCTGATAATCCACCCATAAATGAATGCGGGCAATTTTGACATGGGAGATAAAAAGTCATCTTTTGGACCCGCTTTATTGAGATTCCAAGAGTCGATACTAATATGAATTTGATCATTCCTTTTCTATACAATCACAATATTGGTTATTCAATCTATATACTTTTCTTTTCAACTGAAATCTTTCATTGTTGATTCCATATCATCGAGACGATTCAATTGCCCTTATTATTGAAATCTCAATTTTAATGCCCAACAAATCTCAGAGTGCGAAAATTTTCATTTCGTGGACTGATGTTGTGAGACAATTATTCATATTAAGCGAGTATCATTAAGGCAATTCAATCAGGCTAATTTGTGAAAATTTTGATTTTTTTGCTCAATGAATTTTTAGTCTAAACAACACCCGATTTAGAGCCTTATTTCACGTAATTTATGACATTACATTGGATCATCAGGATAGTTTAAAAGGGCCAATATTTAAAAAAAAGCCTCATCACCCATATATCTAATATTTTTCTTAAACTGGGTTGTCTTTCCCTATTCTTCTTGGCTTGGTTATCACCCTGTGAATCCAATATCTCTCAAATTGAGTTATCAACCCATGTTTCTCCTGTTTGGGTTACCATCCTAAGTATGTCTAATATATTTTAGACTCAATTATCACTCCAGTTTTTTTTTTTCCTCTGTTGAATTATCACCCTATAAGTCCAGCGTATATCAAACTAGGTTATCACCCAGTTCATCCTTGCTAAGTTATCACCCCATAATTCCACCATCTCTCACATTGGGTTATGGCTCCATATGTTCGATATCTATTGAATTGGGTTATTACCCTAGGTTCTTCCTTGTTGTTTATCACCCCACAAGTTCAATATCTCTCAAACTAGTTATCACCCAAGGTACTTTCTGGTTGGACTATTATCACGCTAGTTTAAAGCAAAAAACAGCTCCTTAGTTATCTTATTCTTTATCAGAAATTTTAAATTAAGCTCTGTTTGCTGGATTCTTACCATTTGCCCTCTCCCAGTCGTGGAAAGGATCAGAATGCTCGGCGCTGACTTGCAGACTTGCCTTGAGAAACCTACAATGAGTGAATTCAATCTTCAATTTTGAAAGATAGTCCAATATAATGAGCACTCTCATAAGCATAACATAAAAAATTATTCTGAGTGGGCCGAACGTCATTCGGAGACTAATCAGAATGCGCCACATCACCCTTTTATTATACCGCGGCTCAGTATCGCTGGGTACCGCAGCATCCGGATATAGAGCTGCGTCCGACGTCTGCACAAAATAATTTTTCCATAAACATACTGTTAGGCGGGCCCCTCATGGGCCAGTCCTTACTCCAGGCGGGCCCCACATGGGGTTTAATTCAAGTGTTGGAGGGAGGAAAGTCTTGGGTCCCATGATGGGGTCTAGAGGTTAAAGAGGGGGAAGGGAGGATTTAGGTTTTCAT